ACCAACCCTTGTCCACCATGGGTAACCATTATGGCATTTGACACACCAGTGACACAGTACTCAGCATCAGAACAACCCCAGGTTCCTTCAATAGACCTGTTCTAATGAAAAGAGAGTTTCTCTAAGGTATGGGCTGTATCACCTTGTCTTTTTATGGCAGATAAAGGAGAGAGACTGGAGCAGAGCGCTGGGTCCCCAGAATAACCACAAAGGAAGACCAGGAGTGAGCACATTCTTGAGATCAAAGCCCTTCTCCTGGGAAGCTCATCGACCCAGACAATGGCCAAGATACACAGAGATCCGCAAGGAACGTCAGGCTGACAGACGCTGACGCTAACAAGGACCTTCTTCCAAGGTTTGTCTTTTTTGTTTGTTTTTGAGGTGTTGATGTTTTCTATTAGACTTTTTTAAAAGATTAGACTCTTGCTGAATATATCATGGGCAATATTTTCTTTCACCTAGTCTTGTAGGTTTCCTTTTTACTCTTTCAGAGAAGTCTTCTGAGGAACATAAGTATTTAATTTTAGGGAGCTCTCATTAATCTAGTTCATCTGCTGTTAGTGCATTTTTTTTTAACTGTTACTTGGTTGGTAGTGAGCTAGTGCATTTTTAGTTATGTTTCATAACCATATATTACCATATATTAGGACATTTTTAGTTATATTTGGTAACCATATATTGGGACATTTTTAGTGATGTTTGGTAACCATATATTACCATATACCAGGATATTTTTAGTTATGTTTGGTAACCATATATTGGGACTGGCACAGGAGGAGATTGTCCCTCCTTCTCCAGCGGAGCATCTGGTGGATACGAACCGCGCGCCTTCAGGATTGCAGTGCAGCTTCTTGCCACTAGGCCACCAGAGATCCCTTTAAACTGTGATTTTAATTGTGAATCAGTTCTGTCTTGATGGCAGATAACATTTAGATCTTTGATTCATTTTGAGTTCTTTTCTTGTATGTTGTGAGATATGGGTTCTGCCCTAGAATCATAGCTGCCAGTATGCTCAGAAGTCATTTTAAAAGCTGAGTTGGGAATACATTCCGTTTGGAGTTAGTGGGATATATTTGGGTTTTACTCAGACATTTCTATGTGTGGTCAGGTTGTTGGTAGCTGGCCTGGTGTAATGATGATTCCAATCAACGTTCCCATTGTCCATTGTGCCAACTTGGCCAATGATGTGAAAGCCTGAGACTAGAGATTATATTGAACAATAAGTGTACTAGACACCGGAAGGATGTGGGTAGTACAGAGAAACATGTTTGAAATGTGTGGACTGTAACCAGTCTGTGGAAAATCCTTCCAAACACCAGCTGTATAAAATTGTTGTTAGGTACCACAGAGCTGATTCTGACTCACACAGTTGTTGTTGTGTTATTAAGGGCCGTCGAGTCGCAGGCGACTCATAGCGACTCTATGAAGGAGAGTCCTCAACGTTTGGGTGTCTCTCATCCTCTCTCCAGGTTCATAGGGCTTCCGGAGGCAAGCTATTACGGAAGTGGATGCCACTCCTGCTTCCAAGCTTGTTTTAATCGGGGAGCTCCACCCCACCCTCTGTCCGCATTGGGTAGCCAACCATTAACGCATTTGACACATCAGTGTCACAGTGTTCAGCCTCACAGCAACCACAAGTTACCACTGTATGGCACGTGGACACACCAGGGCATGCGACCTAGAGGAATGTTTGAACAAAAACAATGAAAGACAGGCCCGAGGGCTGCGGATTAAAAGTCACCCACCTTTGGCTTGGTGGCATCACTTTGTGTCCACTGGGCCAACTGAACTCTATGTTGATGTTATTGTTGTTAAAGTGTCATCGAGTTGACTCGCACAGTAAGCTTATATTTATAATAGAAGAAAATGCTGTCCAATCCTGCCCCATTCTCACTGTCGTTTCTATGTTTGAGCCCTGTTACAGCCACTGTGTCCTCTAGCTCATTAAGGGTCTCTTTCTTTCTGGCTGACCCTCTACTAAGAATAATGTCCTTCTCCAGCAACTGGTCCCTCCAGCAATTGGATGGCATGCACATAAAATCGGAAATAGAAAAATCAGTTCTGACGGAAGCCTGTTCAGAACAATTCCGATTTTATCTAAGGATTATATTTGCTAATTTAACATGCACTTTTCAGTGTATTATGGTTGTATTTTAAAGGTTTGGCTAGGCCTTGTAACTGATGCATAGGAAGTAATAGAAAAGAACATTACTTTAATCAGGTACGCCTTAGTCTTTACATTGATATCATTGCTCCTGAACACCTTGGAGAGGTCCTTGATAGCAGAGTTTCCCAGTGTAACATTCCTTTTGATTTCTTGACTTCTGGTACCAAGGATGTTAATTGTGGATCCAAGTAAGATGAAAACGTTGAGAAATTAAATCTTCTCTCCATCTATCATGATGTTCCCTATTGGCCCAGTGGTGAGGATTTTTGTTTTCTTGATGCTGGCTTATAATCCAGATTGAAGGCTATAGTCTTTGATCTTCTGCAGCAAGCACTTCAAGTCCTCCTTACTTTCAGCAAGCAAGGTTATGTCATCTGCATAACACAGGTGGTTGGTGAGTCTTCCTCTGATAACATATATTTTTTTATACCATCTAGCTTCTTGTCTGATTTGCTCAGAGTATAGATTGAATGGATACAGAGAAAGGATACAGCCCTGATGCACACCTTTCTTGATTTTTTTCCTTTTTTCCCCCTAAAGACTTTTTTTTAATTGATTATTAATTTCAATGAAAATTTACAGAGACTTTGGATTTCCATTCATTCATTGTTGCACTTTTCTCCCCTCCCAACCCTCCCCCCTCCCCAGTACACTTCCCTCTTGGAAAAGTAAAAGAAAATTTCTTTCATTGTTTCACAATCCCTCCCCCCAGGTCCACTCCACTCCACTCATACAGCCTTCGCTCTGGACTCTTGTCATGACAAAAATACCCAATAATTTTCCCTCTTAAACAATTCCCTCCCTCCTCTGTTTCAATGCAGTATACATTATTGAACCCATCCTTCTCAGTCTCCTCCCAACTCCGAGGTCAGTCCTGCTTTACAACAGTGGCACCATGCAGTATTTGTCCTTTTGTTACTGAGATATTTCAGTCAGCATAATGTCCTCCAGGGCCACCCATTTTGAATAATATTGCATGAGTTCCTTGTTTTTCAATGCAGCATAGTATTCCATTGTGTGAATATATCACAGCTTTTCTATCCATTCGTTTGTTGATGGGCACTTAGGTTGTTTCCAAGTCCTTGCTACTGTGAACAAAGCTGCAATAAACATGGGTGTGCATATATCTGCTTGGATGTCAGTTACAGTCTCTTTTGGGTATATCCCCAGTAGTGGAACTGCTGGGTCAAATGGTATCTCTGTTTGCAATTTTTTGAGAAAGCACCACACCACCTTCCACAGTGGTTGCAACATTTTACACTCCCACCAACAGTGAAAAAGGGTTCCAGTTTCTCCACAACCTCTCCAGCATTTCTTGCTTGCTGTTCTGTTAAATTTTGCAATTCTGGCTGGAGTGAGATGATATCTCATAGTTGTTTTGACCTTTCTTGATTTTAAATCATGCTGAGTTCCCCCACTCTGTTCAGACAACAGCTTCTTGGTCCAGGTCTAGGTTTCACATGAGCACAATTTAGTGTTCTGGAATTCCCGTTCTTCTCTGTGTTAGCAACAATTTGTTGTGATCCAAGCAGTCAAATGCCTTTGTATATCAAATGACATATAGTGTTGGGGAAACCTGCTGCATAGGACTAAAATGGGCCTGATTAAAGTGATAGAATTTCCATTGCTTCATATGCACATGGAAGTACGACCAATGACTTGCATGTGAACTGTGTTGACAAGGAATGTTGACTATCCCATGGCCTGCCAGAAGAATCAACAAATCTGTCTTGGAGAAAGTATAGTCAGAATGTTTCTTAGAAGCAAGGGTGGAGAGACTGCATCTTGCCTACGCTGAACATGTTATCAGAAGGAGACAGTCCCGGGCGAGGATATCGTGCTTGCTAAACTGGAAGGTCAATGAAGAAGATCCTTACAGTAATGAAAAGTTAAGCTTTTAGTTTAACTTAAAGTTACAGTTAAAGTAACAGTAACTACAGTAACTTCAACAAGAGGCTCAAATAGAGCGTGTTGTGTGGATGGGGGAAAACTGGACCATGTTTTGTTTTGTTGTATGTGAGCTTCCTGTGACTCAGAATTGACTTAAGGGCAGTCCCACAGAGGTATGTGCTTCATTGTTAATCCCAAAGATTGGAGGTTGAAACCTACCCAGTGTTAGTCACCATGGAGGAAGAGGCCTGGCCATCTGCTTCTGATAAGATTATTACGCAAAAAACCCAAAATAAAACAGCAACTGACAACAATAACTTTTATAAGCTTTGTTGTTGTTGTGTACTATTGAGTCAGATCTGACCTATTGTTGACCCGCTGACAGGTTTTCAGAGGCTGTTAATTACAAGGGAAGAGATCGCCCATCCTTCTCCCACAGAGCAACTAGTGGATTCAAACCACAGGCCTTCGGGATTGCAGCACAGCTTCTTGCCACAGCTTCTTTCTCAACGCTTGGGTGCCTTTCATCCTCTCTCCAGGTTCATAGGGTTTCCGGAGGCAAGGTATTATGAAAGTGGATGCCACTCCTGCTTCCAAGCTTGTTTTAATCGGGGGAGCTCCACCCCACTCTCTGTCCGCGTTGAGTAACTAGCCATTAACGCATTTGACACATCAGTGTCACAGTGTTCAGCCTCACAGCAACCACAAGTGACTGCTGTATGGCAACTTGTATACCATAAGCTTTAGACCACATAAAACTTGATCTGCCACAGGCATGCTTTTAAGTCATAGGCCATTTTTATTAAGGTAATATCATCATGAGACTTACAAATTTCCAGATTTTACGACTCCTTACTCACTTTTGTTGTTGTCATCAGACGCTCCAGTGACCTCTTGTTCTGCGTCTAACTGCAGGTAGAGACCGGAAGTGAGCTCTTGAGCCTCAGAGATAGAAGGCCTCACAGAGCACTTTACTAAGCACGTTGGGTGCTTCAGAGGGAGAAATGAGACTGCAGAGGTTGAAGAGATAGGATTGCACCCCCTCTTAGGAAATCAAAAGGCAAAGGACATTATACTTGAAAAGAAACTGAGCTGGAGGAAGAGAAGAAAGCAAATCCTGGTGGTCAGTTTGGTGCTCAAGGTCTGAGGTCCTGGCGGTTGAGGGCTGGCCAGTGGACGTCAATGCGGCACCCCGGTTGGTAATGTATGGAGTGAGTGTTGGCTGACAAGCCGTGTTCTTGAGGTCATTTCCATTTCTCTTTAGCCCAGCCAGGAGGATAATATTTTATCTGTGAGATGGAAGGAGAGAAAGGAGTAAGATGCCACAGTTCATTGTAGTATCTGCCCCATTTAGGAAACAAATCTTACAAGTAAGGGGAGCTCTGGTGGCCTAGTGGCAAGAAGCTGCAACTACAATCCCAGAGGTGCACGGTTCGAATCCACCAGATGCTCTGCCGGGGAAGGAGGGGCAATCTCCTCCTGTACCAGTCAGATCTGATTTGACGGTACACACACACAAAAATAAAAAAAAAAATCTTACAAGTAATGGAGGGAAGGAAGCAGGGTGGTAGGTTCATAGCTACATCCTTACAAATGAAGGGCAAACAGAAGTGGTCCCTTCTGGCCATGTGCCCAAAGTATGTGAGACGGAGCTTCAAAATCCTTGCCTCCAAGGAGCAGCCTGGTTTTGCCTTCTCCAGGACAGATCTGTTGGCTCTCTTGGCAGTCCATGGTATGCTTAATATTCTTCTCTAGCACCACAACTCAAAGGCATTGATCTCTTCTATCATCCTTAATCTTTGTCCAGCTCTCTGTTGCATAGTAAGTAGCTGCAAAGACCATGGCTTGGATCAGGTGCACCTTAGTCCCTGGATTGACATCATTGCTTCTCAGTACTCTGGAGAGGTCCCTGACAACAGACTTTCCCAATGCAATTTGTCTTTTGATTTATTTCCTGGCTGCTAGTGCCAAGAGTATTGTGTGGAGCCAAGCAAACTCAAGCTGTTAACAATCTCAATCTCTTCTCTGTTTATCATGATGCTGCCAATTGGCCCAGTCGTGAGTATCTTTGTTTTCTTCATGTTGAGCTTTAATCCATATTGAAGACTACCGCCCTTGACCTTCTGCAGCAAATGCTTCAGGTCCTCCTCAGTTTCAGCAAGCAAAGTTGTGTCATCTGCATAGCACAGGTTGTTGATGAGTCTTCCTCCAATCCTGATGCTACATTCCACCTCATAAAGTCCAGCTTCCTGAATGTTCTGTCCCGCATGTCGATTGAAAAGGTATGGAGATAAGCTGCATCCCTGACGTACACCTTTTCTGATTTTGAACCGTGCAGTGTTTCCTTGTTTTGTTCTGACAACTGCTTCCTGGTCCAAGCATAGGTATTGCATAAGCACGATTAAGAGTTCTGGAGTCACAAGTTACTTGATGGAAAATAACACTTACATACATTTTTATTTGTTTAGCAGAGTCCCGATTTCTGCTTCTTGCCTCAATGTAATGACGAGTGGCACTCCTTTGCACTCTTAGATATATACTAATGTTACTCAGATGTACTCAGATGTTACTCTTCAGGCCTGGAACTGAATTTACCTTCCTGGGTCAACCAGCTTTCACACCAACAGTAGACAGGTCTCCAAAGTGACAAAGAATTCCAAGGGACTATATGCTCTTTAGTACAATCAACCTTATGAGACGGACAGGGAAGTATTTGCCCAGGGAAACAGCTCAGAAGGCAGGAAAGGACAGGGAGAATGGAAACCATAAACACGGAAGAAGTGGAGACTGTGGCTGTATTGAGGGAATTGCTGCCGCTGTGAGGAAACAAAGCGTGCATGAATTATTGTTGGAAAATAAATTTGCTCTGTAAACTGTCACTCATAACACAGTTTCAAAATATCTTGGATTGTCCAATAAACTATGTTGCTGCATGGCTGTAAATGGCCTTAAAAGGAGAGAGAGAGGGAGAGAGAGATTAGACAATGGGAAGTAGGGAGAAGCATAGACGTAGATGATCGAGTGGTTAATGGGGTCCAGTGTTGAGCTGGGTCACTATGTGTCCCCCTGACTTGGCCTTGGACATAACCCCACCTCTACTTCCTCCCTTTGCACCCTCCACTCACTTTATACTTGCGAGCTTCCCTTTGGCCACTACCCCCTTATTCTTTTCTTTTAAAAAAAATTGTCTCCCTCTCTGCACGGTACATTCTCATTCTTTGATTGGGACCGGTTCTGTCATGGCAGGTCTACCCAGATTGTAGCTACCTCAGAATGGTAGACCATATAGACCTTAGACCCAGACCATACAGTGTGGCCCTGGAGAGGGAAGGTGGGACACCGGGGCCCCGTGGACTCACTTCTTTTGTAGCAGCTGGCCATGCAGACAGATTCCGTTTGGAAGTTGTTATTGTTCCCAAGACAACCACCATAGATGAATGCCTGGCACTTTGCAATAGTCTTATTATACCACCACCGTGGGAGGTAGGCCAAGCAGAGGCCTTTGTCCTTGGGCATGCTGCATATGTCTGTAGGGAGACCACAGATCAAGCGCTGTTTGAGTGTCTGCTTCTTTCAAGAATGGTGAGCTTCTCCTTCCTCTGGCCATTGCTCTCATCTCCACCAAGGGCTCAAGGCTCTGCTCCCAGTTTTATCTAACTTTTAATCAAATGCTCGCTTTCTCTCCCCGGTCCTAAGTATCCTCGTTTTAAAAAATGAGAATACAAAATTCCACCCTGTTTGCCTAACAAGGCAAAGGAGAAGGTATAACATTGCTTTATTTGCTCTTCCTCCCTCACCGCTGAACCACTGAATCTAGCTGTCTTTGCCTCTTTTTAAAAATATTTTATTATTATTATTATTTTGTGTGTGTACCGTCAAATCAGGTCTGACTGGTACAGGAGGAGATTGTTCCTCCTTCTCCAGCAGAGCATCTGGTGGATTCGAACCAAGCACCTCTGGGATTGCAGTGCAGCTTCCTACCACTCTGTGGCTTTGTCTCTTGAGGAACCCTTCTCAGCTTCCCTCCTGTCACTTTCTTAATTCAAGAGTCATTGTGGCTAACCAGAGCTGCGAAGAAAGGCTACCAACTCATCTTTAAGACCGTGCCAACCTACCCGACTCTGGTTTCCAGAATTGTTGATCAAGATAAATTCTACACGACCCTGAAAGGACCTCAGAATCTCTCTCTTCCTTCTCCCTAACTTCTTTTTGTTGTTGTTTTCTTTTTATTTTTTTTATTATATAATTTCTCATCACTTCCCCCAACATCCACTTTTTTTGAACTTCATGATCTAAGAACTTCTTTTCTCTTACACGCTTCCATACTCATGCACATGCCTGAAATACCCATCCCTCTCTTGTTAACAAGGTTCACTCTTATTCTTTCTTCAAACCCTTCCTAGACACCAGTTTTCTGCGATGTCTTTCCTGTTTCCATTCTTAATCTTTTCATTGTTATTGGCTTTTTTTAAAGCTGCTTGTCACCATACACATCTGTTTATTATTTCTGTAACTAAATGTTCATAGTTTCTGGTTTCCCCATAAAAATGTGAGATTTTTGAGAGAAGAAATTGTATTAGATATTTTTGGTACAGCAGTTCCTAGCAAATAGTCAGGCATAGAGTAAATAGCACCAGTAGCATTCATAGTGAAAAATCCAGTTTTTCCAGAAGGCATTTTTCCAACCCCTATTTATGTATAGAACTATAAGGTGCATAGTTTTTCAGAAGTTCAGAGCCCGAAGCACAGCATTATAGCTTTTATTAAAGTACCAAGCATTGTTTTTAGTACTTGACACAGGTTAATATATAATCTTCACTTGGTAGACTCTATGATTGTCCTCATTTTGAAGATTAAGACTCAGAGAAGTTAAGGAATTTGCTCAAGGTCACATAGTTATGGGATTTGGATACAGACAGAATTCCTTTTAATGTCAAGACCGAAGTCTTCAACTTGACTTGTTGGATACCGACGACTCTAGGTTAGTTTCATTTTTATGAAGTGAAACTCCCTCTCTCATCTCTTACCTTATTCCTGCTCACACCCTGGCCTCTCTAGACTTTGCCATGTTGCTTCTCCTCACCTGGCTTTTGTACATACACACTGTGCTCCAGTCTTACCTGCCAACTCCCCATCTTTCAGATCTTAAATTTTGGCTATTTCTTTTTTTTTTAAAAAAAATCATTTTAAGGAAAGTTTACAGAGACTTAAGGTTTCTATTCATTCATTGTTGCACTTTTCTCCCTGCCCGCCCCCCATTCACTCTTCTCCTTGAAAAGTAAAGAAAAACTCTTTCATTGCTATGTAATCCCTTCCCCCAAGTCCACTCCACTGTGCAGCCTTCATTCTGGACTCCTGTCATGACAATAATACCCAATCATATATCTCTTTTAATCAGTTCTTTCCCTCATCTGTTTCAATGCAGTATACATCATTCATCCCCTCCTTCTCTGTCTTCCCTCAACCCCAATGTCAGTCCTGTTTTACAACAGTGGCCCTATGCAATATTTATCCTTTTGTGACTGAGATACTTCACTCAGAATAATGTCCTCCAGGTTCACCCATTTTGTATAATATTTCATGAGTTCCTTGTTTTTTAATGCAGTATAATATTTTGTTGTCTAAATATACCAGAGCTTCTCTATCCATTCCTTTGTTGATGAGCATTTAGGTTGTTTCCAACTCGTTGCTATTGTGGACAAAGCCTTAATAAACATGAGTGTGCATATATCTGCTTGGATGTCAGTTACAGTCTCTTTGGGTATATCCCCAGTAGTGGAATTGCTAGGTCAAATGTTATTTCTATTTGCAACTTCTTGAGAATATGTCATACAGCCTTCCATAGTGGTTGCACCATTTTACACTTCCACCAACAGAGAATAAGGGTTCCAGTTTCTCCGCAACCTCACCAGCATTTTATGTTTGCTGTTCTGTTAAATTTTGCTGTTCTTATTGGGGTGAAATAATATCTCATAGTTGTTTTAAATTTTGGCTATTTCTGGAAAAATCTTTCTGGACTTTTCTACTAGATTTACTGTGCAAGTGAATCTCATGATCTCCAGGAACATCAATAATTACTTGCTGAATGAATAAATATTGGAATAGGCCTTCATAGTCTTTAGAGTCCAGTGATATGTACAGAAAATACCAAAGAGAGACAGGACTTAGAGAAACCCTTGCGGGGGGGGGGGGAATCCAGAAAGCACAAATTGTATACCTGTCTCTTCTAGTTACCATATCTTCTCACACAAGCTTGGCAGTTAGTAAGACTTAGTGGCTACTTGACATCTGCAAGAAGTACAGAAAAGAAGCTGAAAGACCACATAGTCTGCTAGCCACACTTAGGAATGAAGAAATCAAGATTCAGAAAGGAGAGTGGGATTGCTCCTGTTACGTCCTGTCCTAGAGGCAGGAAGGAAACCCAACCTGGGCCGCCCCAAACCTGAAGTGTCTGCGTTTGTATCAGTGGCCCTTGTGCCTGCTCTCAGTCAGACATCAACCCCACCCAATGACTCGAAAGGGTCTGAAGAGGGCAGAAAATGGGCTTCTGGAAAGGAGTATCAGGTCATTAGCACCTCTGTGTGTTACCTTGTGTGACATCTAGACATTTCTTCCCGCAGCTGAACTTGCAACATTTCTGGTCTTTTGGGCATTGTTGGCTTTTGGAACAAAGATCTGTTTCTTCAGCGTCACACATTGTTCTGATTCTGGGACATTTTTCTAAAGAAGGAAGAAGATAGATTCCCTTAGGGACTTGTCTTCCCAGGTCTTGGGGACCATTGTGGAATTGGGGAAGCTTGTGTTCATTTCCTCTGTCCTCTCCTCAGAGGGTGATGATTTCAAGGGATCACGATGTTCACAGTCTTGTCTACATCTCCAGTCACATAACAAATCACCATTTAATCATTAAATAGTCCCCCCACCCCCCAAAATACCCTTACCATCCCCAGGGTCCAGGTAGAGTGTCACTCTGCTTTAGGGCCTTGCCACCTTTGGACAGTCACCTAGGGATCCTATAGCACACCATGATTGAGATTTACATTATTGGAGTCAGCTGGTGTACTTTTGAATTCTGTGTACCACCTATGACTCACATGCCCTTTCTGAACCTTGATTGTCTCATCTGCCTCATGGGTTTGTTTAGAGGCTTGATGTCACTAAACTTGCAAATCCATTGTCTTTTTATCTGGGGCATAAAATGACGAATATTGATGAAGCATTTACTACTGTGCCTGGCCTTCTTCCCTTTAAAGGTATTACAGCTCTGAGCAAAAGCTCTATCAACACTCACATTTTGTAAACGAGGAATTTGAAACATACAGAGAGTCCGGGAACTTGCCCAAAGGCACACGACTGCTGAGCTAGTGCAGTTCCTAATCTCATCTTTTCAGCCATTCCTGAACACTAATGATCACATAACTGCTAGTTTTGAGTTTTTCTATCCCAGCATTCCAAAGAACTATCCAGAAGGTCGGACTACCCTGTGGGCATGGAGGTGGGGCAATTTTCAGGACCCACAATGGGAAGATTTGGAAGTTGCTGAGGGTGGTGGTAGGGGAGAAGCCTTTGTCTTTCTTTATGTGGGGTAAGTCTTTAGTTTTCGCTGTTTGCTTGGGTTGTTCTGTGAGTGCCAAGCGCAGGCCCTTCCAGGAGGAACCCTCTCTCCTTAAGACTCTGCGTGAGTTCCACTGACACAGTCCTTTTTTTTTTTTAATTTTTTTTACTGACACAGTCCTGGGTGGATGTGTTCATTGAGAGCATCTTACTAAGGGGGAGAATATGGAAAGTATGACTCCAAGTGGACCTCTTCCCTCCCACCCAGGATCCCGTGTTGAGCTGGAGGTAGGGGCATTTCCTGCTTTAGGGAATTGTTTTTGATTGTCTCAGTCAAGTTCCTTTCCTCCAGAGAAATGACTGATTCCCAGTACTTACTGGTTCTGAATATCTCACCCAGCCCAGGCTCCTGGAGGCTTTGCAGGAAGATGAACGATACTAGAATCAGGAGAAGTCCAGAGAGTTCCATTTTAGGAGGTGGTGACCCCAAGGAGTTACTGTGTTAACCCACAGGCCACACGCCTCTCTGACAATTCACACCCACCAGTGGTTCCTCAGGAGAGGCAAGGACAGTCTCTTGGACGAATTATTTACAGCTTCAGAAACACAATGGAGGGCTGGCTAGGATTCGGTTCTCACTCAGCAGCAGTGAGCTTTCAAGTGGCCGGACGGTGCCGGAATGACCGACTGGCTGTTCTGGCTGCCTGGGCCCAACTCCGCAGCCCGGGAGCCAGAATCCCTGGAGACAAGCCAGCTAATCTCCCTCTGCTAGAGAACACCAAGTCCTGAGGCCTCCTGGGAGGCTGCCTGCCACCCACGGGTCCTGGGGAGCGGTGATAGGGTGGTTCCTCACCAGCCCTGGGCTGAGCTAGTTATTTGATCAACCAGCAAGTGGAAATAAGTTTTGAGGGGGCTTTTTGAGACTTTTAGTAGATGGGAACACTTAAGGTTCCTTGCACTTCTGGGGGCATTTTGGAGTTTCCTCTATTCTATTTTTACTCTATGTGTGTTGTATTGTATATGGTCGAGTCAGAACTGACCCACAGCTGACCCCCCAGTGAGTTGGTTTGTTTTTTTTTTAATTATTATTAAATTTTATTAGTTTTAATGAACATTTACAGAGATTTTGGGTTCTCATTCATTTAATTGTTGCACTGTTTTCTCTACCCTCCTCCCCAGTTCGTTCTTCTTCCCCCCCCCCGAATGTCTGTTTTAATTGTCCAATTGCCACAGTGCTTGTCAAAGCCAGTTCTGATTAATCTCCTTTGTCAGTGTGTCCTCTTTGCCATTCCCTATCACTCCTCCCTGAGAGAGACTTCACCCTGAGTCATAAGGAAAAGGGGATGGCGTATTCTCTTAGCTACTTCCTGCTGAAAAGGGACACTGTGGGTTTCAGGGTGAAGATCTTCTCTCACTACTCTAAAGGGCCCCTTTGGCAGTAGGAAACCCCCAGTGAGTTTTAAGAGGCAGTTAATCACACAGGAGGAGATTGTCCATCCTTCTTCCATGGAGCAGCTGGTGGATTTGAACTGTGTGCCTTTGGGATTAGAGCCAGGCAGGAGAGCTTCCTTTTACTTTACCTGGTATATTTCTTTTTCTGCCAATTTTTCCTCCCTCTATTTCTTCCCTTTATCTTTGCTCTGTTTTCACCACTGCTTGACTTTCCTCTGCATCTCACTCTTTCTTTGTCTACAAATTTCCTTCTGCCCAAGTTTCTGTCTCCATCTCCTTTACTTTCCTTCTGTCTTCCCCCGCCTCTTTTCTCCCTAAACCACCCCTTTTATTTGTCTCATTGGCCAGTGAACGCATCACCAGGAGTGTTATGTAGAGGAGGAACCAGATTGATTACCAAGTCTTCATATAGTGTCTGTCAAGGCAAGGGCCCTTTGAGAGCAGAACAGATTGGAACTAATGGGGAGGGAGCTTTTGTCATTGGATATGATTTAGAATAGATGATGCAGGAAGATGTTAATAAATGTCAGTGATGACTTCAGAACAAGCTATGGCAGTGGGACCTGATGGCTGGTCTACTGAGCCTCCCAACTTGTGTCTCAAACCCTCAGTTAATGAGTGGACTCATTGTGCAGACCAGTGAAATCTGGACGACACAGAGGTAGATGGCCATGGACACTGGATGCCCCACTCAGATACACTTAAGGCAGCTGCAGGAGACACTGCCAGGACACAGCGATGGTATCCAGCTTAAGTGGCAGAATCTTCTCTAGTGTGGATTTTCTTTAGCTCATTGGGAGATTTCTCTGTTTGTCCATGGGCAGTTTGGAAGAGTGAGGGATTTAATGCCCTAGATTTCCAGTGGAGACGTGAGAAGCGGTGAATACACACACACACACACACACACACACACATACACATGCTTTAACTTTCTCATCATTAGAGACAGAAAAGAGGAATGCAGAAGCATGTTTCATGTGGTCCCTTAGAAGGTCTCCAGTTGGAAGGAGCCCAGTTTCATACAGTGGTAACCAACACACTATCGACTCTCTTTCTCCCTGTACCATGTAACCCACTCCCTCTCACAGGTTTCATAGGTGTATTTCCAGATAAACTATTTGCATCCATGCTCTTGTCCCAGAGTTGGCTTCTGGATGATCTACACTAAGAGCAGGCCCATGGGCCCTTGTTCTAAAGGTTTTACAATTTTTAATTACATAGTAGAGTGACAATATACCAAGAGCCCTTACGGTCTTGTTTGTCCTCACTCCCTGCAAAGGTGTCGCCGGAAGACCTGCTGCTATTCTTTGAAAAGTTGTTGTATGTTGGACAGACATGAGTTAGTTAACCTCAGAAGCATGAGACTGAGTGTGGCACTTTATTGGGTAAAACAGGGAGTGACACAGGGATAAATAAGTGCATAAAAAGTTGGAAGTAAAGGGATGAGGTGTAGAGAAGGGGTCTCAAGGGAAGGTACTGTGTCTGAAAAGAGGCTGAGCTGGAGAACAGGGAGGTAGATGTCAAGTTCAGTTTTTTTGAAGAGCTGGACCTTGGAAAACAGAGTAGAATGGTGGAAGCCAACTCCAAACATCAGTCAGATGCACAGATAGAGACTTGAGTCTTCAACCAAATCCTTGGTCATTCCAATGCATCCTTATCCTTTCCGAAAGGTAAGCCTAGTTGAGAACACAGGACAGAACAAATTAAACAGCTTGGACCCAGTTTGTCTTTGAAATTATGCTTGTACATCTTTTCACAAGAGAAGAGGAAAAGTGGATTTGCTTTGGGGGAGATTATATATAGATATCCCCCAATATATGTTATTGTGTGTGTGTGTGTGTGTGTGTGTGTGTGTATGTAAATATAAATATTCATATATATTTATACATGCATATAAAAGTACAAAAAAAAGCAAACAAAAACCTTGCTGTAATCAACTTAGTTTCAACTCAAAAGTGTAGTTCCTCTTGGACGGCATAGAAGTGCCCCGCAGTTTCTGACACTATGAGTCTTAGTGGGATCTAGATTACCCCATCTTTCTTGGTGGGGCTGCAGGTGAGTTTGAACTGCTGACCATTTAGTTAGCAGTCCAACATCTAACCCACCAAACTTGATGATTCTCTGAAAGAATCTACCCCTGAGAACTCTGGAAAACACGTCTGCTGTGATGCATACAGGGTCGCCAGGAGTTGTTGTTGACTCAGCAGCAACTGGGTTTTCATAGATACATAAAACCGCATATTTATTTCTTCCTGATAGCCCCCAAAGTGTTGCTGGAAGTACAAACAGCATAGGTAGGAATTAGGTCACCAGGTCTTTTTCCAAGGTGGCTTGGGATGGGGTGAGGGGTACAGAGAGACTGAAATTTCCAAACTTTCAGTTAACAAAGAGTGTTAACAGCATCACCCTGGGACCCCTTGAGGGTTATAAAACTCCTAAAGGAAAAACAAATGAGAACGGGTTGCTGGTGAGGTGTTATGATGAGTAAATCAGTGGCCTGGAAAGATGGGTTGGTCAATTACGCTCCATCTAGGCTGACATGACCTTCAGAATTGGTCTCTGAGATTTTGCCATTTCTGCCTCATCCTCTTTGCACCTCTTACCTCCCCTTTTAGTGGCCATTTTTAATTAATGACTATCTTCCTCCCTGGCCTCAGTTCCCTGGTAACTGCTCTGCAAGGTGTAGTCTGGTCCTCTGACGTCGGGGCCAGGTCAGCCTCGGTCCTAGCCATACAGAAATGGATCACTCAGCACTCCACGCTCTCAGCATGCTCCCGGTCAGGACGGGAGACTGGGGTTCCTGGGACTTACCCTTTTTTGGCAGAAGTTCTGGCAGAGGGTTTTGGATTGGAAGTTGTTGCTGTTCCCCTGGCAGCCACCATAGATGAACATGGAGCAGGTGTTATTTTCCTTATCATACCACCAGCGTCGAAAATAAGCCATGCAGACGCCAGTTTCTTTTGGCAATTGGCATATGTCTGCAGGGAGAGCCCAGAGTTGAATACTCAATGGTGCTGCCTGGGAAAAACCAGCGGGTCTTTGCGCCTGATGCAATCAACTACAGATGAGATGAGAACAGGCATCCCCTCCCTCGTTACAAGCCTAGCAGCTCTGACATGTTCGTCCTCCAGGGCTGTCCTGAGGGGCCAATGAGGCCATCCTCATAGTTCCCTGAGCTGTAAGCTCCGTGACTGTGTCTGGATGTTAACCCAGAGCCAGGCAGAGAGTAACTGTCTGTATATATGTTCTAAATGAATAGAGTATGGAAGTGACGTGAAATTTATAAGCTATAATGCAATCATGCTGTACCCCAAACTGTGTCGGGGGAGGGAATATGGCCTAATAGATAAAGGGGAAGTTTAGACAGGGCAGGAGCTAGGTTTTCAGGTGGCCAATGACCTTCCCTCCTCAGGACGCTAATCGAACACATAACATTTTTCATGGTAAATTTGTCACTTTAGACTTTATGTTGCCATTAATTTGGATCTTGCCTACACTATGAGTTCATGAGTAAATCCTCACAGCTAAACAACAAATTCCTGCTCATTTTTACCTCCTGAGGGCTCACCTCTCTGCCACTCTGTTTCATTCAAGTCTCTCATGCCTGGGTTGTTTAGATGGTTGAATTAATGCTCTCAACTCTAGTCTTGTCTCCCCCAATCTGGCTTTCATGCTGCCCACCAGAACGAAAAGTCTGATGGCTATGAAAGCAAAGCTAGTCATGGAATTCCACAGATTAGACCTCACTGACTCCAGGCAAGGTCCTGCCCATGATCCGGAAGGTCCTCCATGATCCCAGGCACCTCTCTGACCACTGTTCCTCTTTAAGCTCCAGCAATATTCAACATACCATACTATTTCACACCTCCCTGCCTTCCAACCACTATCTCCTCTGCACACAAAGGGTGCTTCTTAACAACATGCTTTCTCTTCCCTTGGATTCTGTCTCAGACTCCTCTGTGATATCTCTCCTGACTCCATTCTTCACCCCTCGCCCTCATGAGGGCCCAAATGGGCCCCAGGTTTTTCTGCAGTGCTGGCATCTTGTATATACACATGTCATTTGGTTACATATTCTGTCTTAGCTCTTAAATTTGTGAGTTTTATCTTATGTCATCTTTGAATTTTAATTCCTAACAGTTTTTACACAGTCTAGGATTTTATGCAAGGCTGAGGGCAGAAGAAAACTGATCTTGAGCTGAACTGAATTATCACTGAGCATCTGTCATTCAGCTGGGGTCACTGAGGCCCAGCTGGGAGGAGGACTTACCTCGTGTCACATATCATATCGATGCAGTAATGAATCTGAATCTAAAGTCTCCCAAGTCTGGCAATTTTGTGCAGAAATCAGGGCCCAGAGAACCAGAGGATGATGGGTAGAAGACGAGGGTCAAGGGCTGGTTAGTCCAAGACTCTGAATATTACCTTGTCGGAGGTCTAAACATTTTTTTCCGCAGCTAAAGAGGCAACATTTCTTCTTGTCCGCACAGTGTCTGTCCTTCGTACAATGATCCCTTTCTTGGAATTCACATTGCTCTCTGATTCGGGGACATCTCTCTGGAAAATGCAGGCAAACCCCCTTGAGTTATGAAGGCCCCATGCCTCTTCTTCTTCATCTCAGAGCAGTGCTGGGGGTTCAGGGAAGTTCGTGTGACTTTTGCCATTTCCCAGAAGTCCTTTCTCTCAGGCTGACCTCATGTATTTCCTAGCACTACCTAGGGAGCTCTGGTGGCCTAGCGGCAAGAAGCTGCACTGCAATCCTGAAAGCACACAGTTCGAGGCCACCAGCTGCCCCACAGGAGAAGGATGGGCAACGTCCTCCCATGTGATTAACTGCCTCTTGAAAACCTGCCAGGGAGGGGGAGGTCAGCTGTGGGCCGATTCCAGCTCTGTGGTTCACAGCAAGAATAACAAACCTGTGGTGGGAGTTCTGGTGGCCACATGAGTAAAGAGCTGTGCTGCCAACACAAAGGCAAGCAGTTCGAATTTACCAGTTGCCTGGAAGGAGAAAGATGGACCATCTCCTTCTCTTATGACCCCTGAAAACCTGCCGCAGAGTCAGATATGGCACGTAACAACAACAATCTGTGGTACTTTCCTCTCTGACTCTCCTTTTACATTTTGCTCTCTATCTCTAGTCCTAACCCACCCTCACGAAGTGTGGTTTACAACTGCAGCACTGTTGACATTTGAGTCAACTTATTCTTCATGGTGGAAGATGATCGTGTGCATTGTAGAATGTTTACTAGTGTCTCAAGCCTCTTCCCGTTAGATGCTAGTAGCAGTCCTCCACTAGAGACAACCAACGATGTCTCTGGACACTGTGAATCTTATTTGGGGGCCAAAACCCATCCTCAGTGAGACCCACTGGTCCAAGCTTACCTGGCCATTTAACCTTGTTAGAGTCAGTACATGGGAGTTCCCCTGGGTGGCGCTACTGTGCCGCGGTGAAGAGCATTCATCCTGAAGTCAGATTGCCAGGTGTTTAAATTATTATTATTATTATTATTATTATTATTATTATTATTATTCCGTCAAATCGGATCTGACAGGTACAGGAGGAGATTGTCCCTCCTTCTCCAACAGAGCATCTGGTGGATTTGAACTGCATACCTCTGCGATTGCAGTACAGCTTCTTGCCACTAGGCCACCAGAGTTCCCTAGGTGTTTAAATTCTGATTCTTGGTCCACCACTTAACCCTATCTGAACCTTGGCTTCTTCATTCATAAACAGTTTCCATTTTATAGAGTCATGAAGCAGAAATCAGTAAAGTTGAGCTATAATAATAATAATTAGTGCACAAATAATAATAACCTTTCTCTCACTGTCGTCTCGTCTGAACTGACCCATAGCCAACCTTCCAACGGGTTTCTGAGGCTGTAAACTGCATGGGAGGAGACTGACCATCTTTCTACCAAGGAGCAGCCGGTGGATTTGAACCACCAGAGTCATGCCCTCAAGGTTAGCAGTGCAACTCCCTACTCACTATGCCACCTTCCTTATGTTAACTCATACTTACGAAGTGACCATAAGCCAAGAATTCATCCAGGCGGTTTTAATACGCTGTCTTGTTGAATCCTCACAACAGCTCCATCAAGTAAGTTCTGTTAATTAGTGAGGAGAGAACCCAACTCTTCGAGAACCGCATATGCAGTTGCGGTAACTTACCCGTGGTCACGTGGGTGCTGAATAGTGGAATCGACTAAGACTTGTTTCAGATCATACCGTTTAAATTCTTACTGAGTGTTCAGTAAATGAAAATAATGACTTATTATGATGATATGGTCATGGAATATTAGTGGTTTAGGTTTAAAGGGACTTCTAGATATTATTGCTTATCCTAGGGAAGTTACACTTTTTTTTTTGAGGGGTACTTTTTTTCCATTTTAATTCTCATATTCTCTCTGAGTAATGAAGTCTGTACTTCCCCCCCCCCCATTTTCTACTAGTTTATTTACAAAATTTGAATACATTGTTTTCAAGAACGAATTCTTTCATTTTCCCTCACCAGTCCACCCATTACATTGTACAACCTCATGATTAACGCCCCCCTCTCCCTGCACATCCTCATCCTTCTGCTTCCAACCTCTCCCACCCCTCTTGAATCCTTCTATGAAGTTACACCTTTTTGTGTAATACTTTTGGACTGCATTTGAAAATACCTAGGCTGATGGGGCTGGTACCTCTAGAGAAGGGCCTTTCTTAGGCTTCCCAGATTCCTGTACAGCTAAGATATAGACTCTCTCTTAAACACTAGATTCTGTGACCCACCCTTCCTTCTTCCCACAAGAAAGATCCTTCACTTCAGAGGCTGTGTCAGGTCAGGGTTTCTATAAGCACAGAAGGTATCTTACTATAGGGATAGAGGAACAAATAATTCCAATGACCCCTTCATCTTCCAAAATGGGACCTGAACTAAACGGGTGGAATACAACCCAGATCCAAGGAATTGTTCCTTGTTCACTTCAACCAGCCGAGTTCCCTTCAGGGTTCTCCTTCTTTTTTTTTTTCTTTTAATTTTTATTGTATTATTTTTACGTACACCATCAAATCAGATCTGACTGGTACAGGAGGAGATTGCCCCCTCCTTCTCCAGCAGAGCATCTGGTGGATTTGAACCACGTATCTCTGGGATTGCAGTGCAGGGTTCTCATTCTTATGAGGATACAGTACTTACTGGGGGAGAGCCAGTCACTCACTGTAGATCCCTGGATGGATGGGAGGAAGAGGAATAACCAAAGGATGCTCAAAAGTCCAGAAGACTCCATTCTGAAGCGGCCCTGTCCTCCTTAGTGGTTCCAGAATGTGGGAATGTCTAACTGCTTTGACCCAGCCTACTCCTTCTGTAGCCACTGCCTTGGAGATGAGAACTGGAGAGACGCCAACAACCCCCTCTCCTGCTGAGAACACCAAGTTCCTGAGTAGGGGATGATGTCCAACAGCCCACAGCTCTGGGACAAGGTCTTATTGGATAATTCCTGATCCTTAGCTCGCTGGGCTGAGTTCTCAGGGAAAGTGGTCAAAGTTTATCTCACATTTCCCAGGCTACCTTAGGAGATGTAAATGGCATCCTCTGGGGTCTTATTTTCATAACTTTGAGGTTGTAGATTGTTCTTATTCTCCATTTATTCTCCTATCTGGCACAACCTTCGTGTTTGTCTCTGACAATGTATCTACTAAATAATTTGCCATTCTTTTGGATTTTTCTACCTCTTGGTATTTTATTTAATTTATCCTCTTTTAGCGTGAGTTACCTGTGGTCTCTATGTTTCTTTCTTTCAGATGTTGTTGTTGACTAAGTAAACTTGCAAACGGAAAAGGGATAGAGAGACTAAAATTAGGAGAGAGAAACAGGAACCAACTGAAGATAAGTGTTGGCTTGTAATGGTGGTATAAAGATCTCTGAACTAGGAATGAAGAAGTGGCTCCTCCAGATTGGGTTGGATATTGAGATTAGGGAGGCAGAGCTTCTGGTTCTGTTTAAATCCATAGTCCTTGACACAAGCTACATTCTCTTTTTCTCCCCCCATATCCCTCTTCCCCTCTTTCTCTCACTGCACTTATCCTCTGTTGAATGTCCAAAGCCGTTAAAGGCACAGGAAGAAATTGCCCATCTTTTCCCCATAGAACCTCTGGTGGACTGAACTTGTGAAAGAGGGAATTTAGGTTAGCATACAACTCCCTTAGGGGAGCTCTGGTGGCCTAGTGGTAAGGAGCTGCAACTACAATCCCAGAGGCACACGGTTCAAATCCACCAGATGCTCTGCCGGGGAAGGAGGGACAATCTCCTCCTGTATCAGTCAGATCTGATTTGACGGTACACTCACATAATAATAATAATAATAATAAAACAAAAACAAAAAACCAACTCCCTTCTAGTCTTTAGCCTGTGCTAACAAAATTCCCTAGGGAAGGTGCTTCTCATAGCTTACCATTTTAATCAAGAAGCATACAGATTTTTCCACAGGAAGTATTGCAGCAATACTGATCAATTTGGCATTCGGAGTGTAATCTGTAGAAGACAGTACAAACTGAGCTTCAGTGGGTGGTTTTTAGCAGGGTTTCAATCTAGGTCCTGGTAAAACTGAAGAGTACATGAACAATAACTCTAGAAAGAATGTTGTTTTTTCCCTCTAATCTGTCAACCTCCTCTCAAGGTTCAAGACCCGCTCCTAGGACTTCCTTTCTTCCTGAGAAGTCTTCTAGGTTTCTGGAGTCAATATCTAGTTCTATCACTTCCCAACATACCCAACCACCAAGAAGTCACCTCATAGAATTTAAATCTGAAGAACTTGAGACCTGAAACTTCTTTTCAATGCAAAGAGGTGTGAGAGATCTCCTAATCTCTCCCATTTTACAGAATGGGAGGCTCTAGGTTCTAAAATGAAAACACACATACACACACACACACACACACACACACACACACTCTGCCGCCTTTCACTCGGTGCTGAAGTGGCCCTAACAAATATCAGTTCTTCTTTATAAACCTTTGTTTCAATATCTACCCACCACTCTCATTTTCTGCTGATTTGCTTTTTTTTTTTACATTAGTGCTCTCAAACACTCCATTAGACATTCATTTTCTTTCTCCTCTCCAAGCTCCATGGAAAACATTATTCAATTTGCTGAACAAAATGAGGGTGTTCATGAAATAAGTAGTGTCCCTTTTTCTAATTTAATGTTTATCTTTGGCATTTTTCACTGAGGATCTGCACTAATATCTTAAGTTAAGCATCCTCCATGCAGGCTCTGGACTCGGCTCTTCAGTGCTAACTGTCCTCTTAGGCAAAACCCCTAAGTGGCTGTCATTGCCCCAAATCCATATAAAAACAGTAATAAGGCAGCACCAGGAGTCTCTCCATTTTGAGAATTAAACACTCCCTTTTTCTTGAGTATCCTGGCTTAGAAAAAAAAGTAAATACTTTCTATGTGCCAGGACTTAGTTCTCTGCATTTGGACTGGGAAAAGCCCTTCTGTTTGCCACCCACTCCACATTTTAAAGTCCATACAGAATACCTACGTTGGCCTGGCAATTCAATCACGGAATTAGCTCTTCCTTTCCAGTTTCTCAACACTGGCAGGACCACCATGCAGGGAGAATCATCAACTGAAGAATCAACTGCTTCATGATGTCGTCTCTGGATAGCTGAATGTAAGCCTGACAGGTGACTCAGGATTTTATCAGGCTCTGCTGGAGATAGGGAAGTATTGCAGAGTAGGGAGTTGTGAAAGCATGTGACTAGCCTCACAGCTGCCCTCCTCTATCCACCAGTTCTTGGCTGGAAATTAGCTTCCTGTGAGATACTTTCTTCCTTCTATACTTCATATTTCTATTATTGACATTTGTGTGTGTATTCTTAATTTTAAGATAGTTCACTTTAATGGTCTTTTTTCTTATATTTAACACTTTGATTTCCCATTTAAGAGGTCTTTGCCTACTCCATATTTTCAAGATAGTATCTATGTTATTAAACCAAGCAACTCCTTGGAGGCAAGGATTCTGGGGCTTCGTCTGACATACTTTGGGCATGTTGCAAGGAGGGACAGGTCCTTGGAGAGGGACATCATGCTTGGGAGGGTGGAGGGACGGCACAAGAGGAGAAGACCCTCTATGAGATGGATTGATTCAGTGACTGGGGTAATCGGGATGGGTGTGTCAGAGGCAGTGCAATTGGCACAGGATAGAGCAGGGTTTAGGGCTGTTGTACATAGGGTCGCTATGAGTCTCAAACGACTCGACGGCACATAACAACAACAACAATCTATGTTATTTTCTAGAAGCTTATGCTACACCCGGACATGTAAATCTATAATTTACAGATGAAAGTTCCATTGTCTTCTGACTTCCATTGTTTCCATAGGGAAGTCAGCTAAAACTTTTACTGTTACTCTTTGAAGAAAATGTGCTGCTTTTCTTTATCAGATTTCCTCTTTGTATTGGTTTTTAGAAAATAAGAATTATGTTTTATCTAGACATGTTTTTATTGTGGTATGCCTAAGAATGGCTTTCACTGGGCTCAGAGGGTTTCTTGAAACTATGGCTTGATATCATTCATTAGTTTAGAAAATTCCCAGCCATTTCCCTTTCTTTGTTCTATAATTTTTTCATTCTGGGCATCTAAGTGCATAATATGTTTTCTCATGATACATTCATTCTTGTTTGTAAATATATATAATCCATCTCCCTGCTTCAGTCTGTGTATTTTCTGCTAACACATTATTTTCCAGTTCAGGTGATCTCTCTTTATTTGTATCCACATCTCTAGGGAGCTCAGGTGGCCTAGGAATTGTTTTGATAACTCAAAAACACATGGTTCAAATTCACCAGCCATTCAAAGGGAGAAAAATGAGAACCTCCTCCCATATAATTTACTGTCTCTGAAACCCCACTGCAAGGTCAGGTATGCATCATTTCTGATTCAATGACATAAAACAACAATCTTCTCTAAATGACATACATGAATTATTTTTTTTTTAGTTAGTATATGTTTTAATTCCAGATTTTTTTTTCTCTTTTTATAACAATTGAAATGAATGATTTTTCCTGTTTTATTGAGCTTAGTAACATAAGTAATTTAGAGGTCTACATTTCATAATTCCAGTATCAGGAGCACCTTTGGGCCTATTCCTACAGACCACAGACCAGTCCTTGGAACATATTTTCTGGATAATAATTTCTTTGGGATTTGTTTTAACTAGTGGCAAGTGTTAAAGTTTAATCTATATAGAGATCAGGTTGATTTGAAAATAAATTTCAGCCTTTGTAAATCCTAGTTTATTTTGAGTTTATCTTAATCCTAGGGTATAGTGTTCTTCTGCATGTAAAACGTGTGAAGGTTAAGGAAGACTAGAGCTCTTCTAGATTGAAAGAGGCTTAAGGACAACTAAATATAAAACATAATTCTAACCTGGATCCTTTCACTATTAGACACATTATTAGAAAAGTAACAAGACTTGAGTGAAGTCTAGGATTATCACATATTTTCTGATTTCCATGGTTGAACTGTGGAAATGAAAAAAACTCCTCTTTTGTGGGAAATATATACTCTAGTATTTCAGAATAGCACCATATTTTTAAGACCTTCTCTGAAATGGTTCAAGGAAAAATAGTGCTTTGTCACAAACTTACAACTTTCCTCTAAATTTGATATTATTTCCAACAAAAGAAATAAAAATGAAGATAGCAATAGAAGCAAATTCACGGGTATATTTTGAAGATGAAAGGAGCTCATTCATTTAAAATGCCAGGTACAGGTCACAAAGTGCCCAATTAGTGTTCTTTTATTAATTTCAATGTAGAAAGTGTTCAGGGTAGGGTATCTTAGTATTCTAACATTTCAGGTCATTTTAGGCCATTCTTCATTGTGGAGGGTTGCCTTGTGCATTGTAAGACATTTAGCTGCATCACCGACTATGAAAACCAAAAGTCTGCAAGCATTTCAAAACTTCCCCTCAGAGACAATGTTTCAAGTTCAGAATCACTGATGTAGCACGAAATTAGCCACATGGATTGAGAGAGGGTAAGTAGAGTAGACAGTGAATTTTTAGTCTCAGTTTCCCACCATTTTACACTCCAATCCTTTTCTTCTCTGTATATTATTTTCTTTTTTAGCTTTTGATGAAAAACATGAAAGATACTAAGAGTGGCAAAAAGAAAAGTGAAAATACTGAGATTGCTTTTACTGCACAGTCACCTGAATCACTTACATTGTAAATAACGGACTCCTCTGGAATGCTATAATATTCCTAATAGAATCTCAGCATT